AAATTCATTGGAAGCGATGCAGTTCAAGATTATAGTTACAAGAATACAATTTAATCGATTAGAAATACAACTCTTGTGCCATAATTCACATAGTGGAACGAAAAAAGTCAAAATCAGAAGATTGTCGAATGCAAGGATGGCATTTGGCTAGCTAAAGCCCGTATGGAAATCGTCATTTGGCAAAAAATACCTAGATAAGAATATTCAATGATTTATGTAAAATACTGCGAATATTCTGAAAAATAGAATATTCGAAGTACTGTGTACAACTCTAAAATATGGTTGGCGGACACAGCAATACAATTGCATTTGAAAAACTTATTGTCATTATCATATTTTCTACTTTATTTTTGCTTTACAAAAACGGGAAAGATTTATCAATACAAACTTTTCATAATTTTCTCGTTTTTTTAAGAAAATTCCATATTCTCCAATAATTTTCTTAGGAAATAATTTTGTTACGAAAATACAATAGAATTAAAATGGAACTATTTTTTATTTTATAAATAATTTTTTTTTCAATAACTTAATCAAATTATTCTGTATTTTTATATAAAACTATTTAGGAACTATAAAATGTCCAATAAAAACGGCATTTAATTGTATATTTTTTTTAAAAATACTTATTTTATTAGTCCAAAAAATAAATTTTTCACAAATCCATAGAATAGATACTAGGTCAATTTTTGATTAACTTCTTAAGAAATCAGCCCCAGATCTACTATATATGCAAAATAAGCATATGCAATGAAAACCGGAACACAGGGGTGAAATTATTATTGACAATATGCATTATTAATTGCATATTAGTCATTGCTTTGAAAGCATGGAACGCATTTTTTGTAAACCGCGCAGTGCACCAAAAAAATTAGAACCGTACCTGTAGAAAATATACTGTACACTTTGTTACCTAAAATTTCAAGCCATTTTCGTTTAAAACTTCCTCAAACATAAATGGTAATTTGATATATTGATGCTCTTACATTGTTTTAAAATACGAGCAAATTCCAAGAAAACAACTCAATTGGCAGTCAATTAAATTAATATTGTTAATATTCTCAAAACTGAGCTTTAAATTTGATAAATAACTTAAATAAACTTTTCGAAGAGACTGTATTTTTATTTAACAAACATACATTTACACGTCATATCTATACATATTATGACGTTTATTGGTGTTCATTTCAAGTATTACTTTAATCAATCAATAATTTTTCATTTTTAAAGTTTGTTATTTCATTACAAAAAAGTTAAAAAAGAAATCAACCTTAAGAAGTATAAATTATTGTGCGAATATGATCAACTAAACGATTAATCATTTTGATTCGATTCGATTAAATTCTCTCTTCTCTTGTATTCTATTAATAATAATAAAAAAAAAAAACAAAATAACAAAAAAAAAGGTAAATCAATCTATGTAATATATAGACGATTTGATAATAACATTAAAGAAAGAGTAAAAGAGAGAAAAAAAACTTTATAAACAACTTAACAATCAATGTAAATTTAGAAAAAAAACAATGAAATAAGAACAAAAAAACGAAAAAAAAATAATAAAAACCTTGTTTAAGTTCACCTGTAAACAACAGACCAACATAATTTTCGCTGTTGTTTTTCCTTATACTGAATATTTTTTTTTTATTTGGTCTTTTTTTTTTCTCTCCTTTTTCACCTAATCTGGAATTTTTGATAAATTAATTTCGGTTTTGTTTTTTAATGTAAGTTTTATTTTATATACCCACACACACACATATATTATTTAGGTTTACATATTATACAGTAGGCTCTCAATCAATTTGAAAAATTACTATCGAAACTAAATTTGTCTGGATTTTTGTTTTTTTTTTGTTTTTTTGTTTTCGGAATGTAAACAAAAAATTCAAATTAATCTTAATATAAAAATTCTATATTGATTGAATTTTAAAGTATTGCAGTAATTCTAATACGAAATGATAAAGAAAAAATCCTTTTAAAAAATACAAATGCTCTGGAATCTCATTCAGATTGCAATATTACTAAAAATAATGCAAATCAGCTTATATATTGACATACATATATACATACATATTCAATAAATATACTCCGGATTAATAATGTTATCTACGTATATGGTTGATACCTACGCATTATAGTACTTTTAATACAAATGCGTTATTGAAGAGATTTGACAATTTTAAAACTTGGTTTTTGTTTAAAATATTTCTAATATCAAAACGAGAATAGGAAATGTAATTGTAAGAGAATAGTAAATTTAAAAGTAATTAAAGAAATTATAAATGATGTCCCAAAGGACAATAAAATTAAAAATTATAAATTCAAATTTATTAACACCAAATGTGTTTATTTAGCATAGTATTCCAAGAAAAGAAACCGGGAAATTTAGAGGAAAACTTCTGTTTTAAAATCTACATATTGTAGAGGAGGAAATAAAGCAATTTTACGAAGACTATAGTAATCTTATCTCACAAACGTGTATTATTGTGGCTATCAAAATATTGAACGTCGTCTTGACTTTAGACTTCAAAACTTAGTTAATAGAACTTTTCGAATATACGCCAGACATATTTCGCATACATGTAATACTTAATCATAATCTAAAACTAGGCGAACATTCCATGCGTTTCGAAACCCAAAATAAAAAAAGTTTTATGTGAAAACTCTTAAAAAAATTTTTAAGTATTCTAAATAACAAAGAGCCATCAAGATTAGGAGTCCTAAGAAGCTTTTCAAATATATCCATTAGAAAGTTTCTCCTTCAATAAACATATAAGGTACAAAATGTCAATGAAATTTACTAAATTGTTATACTAACTTTAAATAACTACCTTTTTTCAATCATTTTACAAAATACTTAAAATATCTTTAACAATTTTTGAAGTTACTTTGTTCTATGACAAATATTAGGAGAAGTTCAGTTTTGCTCATCATGGACTTGATCTTAAAATATTTTTTATTTTGTTAGTTATTTTATAATTTGTTTTTAGCAGGTTTTTACAAATAATTTTTGAAAAAAGTGCTTATTAGTTTCACTCTGTCCGTCCGCCCATCCGTTTGTGAACATGTTTACAAAACTTCTTTTACACTCTTGGAGTACCCCTCTCAAGTTATCGCCTCTCGAAATTTGTAAAGAACCGCAAGCTCTTTGAAATTTTTATAAAGGCGAAAGCTAACGGTAAATGCTATGCCATCAGTAAATATAATTATTTTTTTCAACTCACGCAATTAACCCTTAAAATCGAACATTATGTTAAAACATCTTTAAAATTATTTGTGCTTTATTTCAAAGACTGCATAAATCATTCATCCTAAATGTATGCAATCCTTTAAATAGTTTCGTATATGAATAGTGTAGTCGATAGGTATATACATAGATTGTTTTTGAAGGCAGTATTTTCACTTGTTGAAGGGAAAAGTGCTGCATTACAAGCGATTGCTTTGACCCAACTTTATTTCTTCTTTACATTACTAAATCATTTTTAGCGCCATTTTATTTTTGCATAATCGACTATCAAACAATAAAATCATTGAAAAAATTTTTTGTTGAAACATTTTTATGTCTGTTGAAACATATTGTAGGTGTGCTTGTGTGTATCTACATTTTTGTGTATAATGTGTGTTACATCGCTTATGGATTTATAATATAGTTTTTTGTTACTTTACTTACATATTATACGTATGTATATAAATTTAAATTAAACTTCGTAATATGCATAAATTTATAGTCTAAATATATCGATATATGTATAAGTCTATAACAGGTCGACTTAAAGCGATCTTATTTTGAGTATACAAGAAACAAAAAAAAAAAATAATCAAATTTTAAAGATTGATATCTTCATAAAAAAAAAAAGAGAGAAAAGCCTAAATATGAAGGCGAAATTTTAAATCAGAGATTTTAAAACTGTTTTAAGATTGTGCATTACGGGTACATATTATGATGAAGAACTATTATTTTGATAATAATACAACTGAAATGTTTATAAGGAATCAAACTTGTTATTGTCCCAATAACCTTCCCTTTTATAATTTATCCCCAATCCAATATACATTTTTAATTTATTGAAACTTCTATTGTAAACTCTTAATGAAATCGATTTGTCATAAATCACCCTATTAGAATAAAAAAATTTTGTCTGAATTTACATAACAGAACACGGTTATTTTTTAAATGTTCATACGTTCCTACACATCGTATATTTCTTTATAATAATAAGTATATACAATAGCTTTAGAGAAATCCAACTTATACGAATATATTGAAATAACAGTATATAAAATTTCGTATCCTAATAAACCGTTCAAAATTGTATTCCAATCAATTAACATTACCGATTAAAATGTTTTCGAAAATATTTTCATACCAATTATAGGTAAATGTTAATTGAAAAGGTCTATATTGCTATCCTACTTCACATATGTATGCTTATGAGGTCGAGTTTTTTACTATTTGGTTTGAGTGAGCAATCAATATCACATTTTGTTCAGACCAAATAGCTGGCGAAATCATATGAGATGACGCCTTCTGATTTTCTCTTGTTTTAACACCATATAATTAGTAATGTTCTCTTCCGAACATGTCAAATGCTACCTCAAAATTGGACCTCTTTTAACGCTCCACTTAAAACAATGTCGGCACTACCATTAAATTCAATATAAAAATTCAAATTAAAACGATTGATTTTTTTTTTGGTATTTATATCGAGAAACCTGAAAATTTCACCCATATTTTTAATAAATAATCATATCGAAAATCTATTTAAGTTTTCGTGTCACAGAAAAAATTATGACAAACAAATCATTTGGAAATATTAAAATATTTCATATAATTGTAATCTATATATACCTACACAAATATATTTTCAAAATAAATGTATATAATGTTAAAAAAATAGCGAACTCTTCGTAAATACAAAAGAATCAATTTAAATTAAATACCATACGATTATTATTTTATAACAATAAAAAAAATATATATATTTTTATATATATACAAAAAAATATATATATACAAACAAATATAAGTACTTGCAATATTAATTATTGAAAAAGATTTAATTTTTGTGAAATTCATAATAAATAATAAATATTTTAATATAATTTTATCAATTTACCATTATTATCGTATATCATATATAATATTGTTTGAGCATGAAACATAACCAACCTGAAAATAAATTAATATTTTATTAATAATTTCAATTTAAAATTAAATAAATTATTAAAATATAAAAAATGGAGAAAAAAATTATTAAAATTTCAGTTCTGCATAATCATTAATTGAACATAAGTTATACGAGTATTATAACGATGATCAACAAAGCTGTTATTCCACAAACTTATTTAAATAAATGTAATTTTTTTTTTTAACACAGAAAAAATATTTTATTAATTATAATAATATAAAACAAAAAAGATTTTCCAATTTATTTATTTATAAAAACCAAAAATTGTTAACTTTTTTAATTTGTTACTTAATATATATATATATATATAATATATATATTTCTCTTTAAAATCTTTTAAAAAATTGATTTTATTACAATTTAAATGAGCATACATAATATTAAATAATAACATATAATTTACTATTATAATATTATATTACTTATATATATATAGGTAATATATTACAATTTATTTATATTTCTATGTTAATACAACATAATGTTCACAAACAGTTCATATTCATACCATTATGTGGATATTTAATTGCAATTTATTCATTTAATATTATTTACTTATCTATAATGTGTTCTTTCACTCGAAATATATAATGTCTATGGAAATTCAGTGTTAAAAATGATTTCATTTTAATTATACTTTTATTTTTTAAATTTTATACTATTATATAATTACAGTTTGTAAAAAAAAAAAATTGTTGCACATAATTTACTTAAAAATAACATTAAATTTTAATTTTATACTTATTACCATAATGTTATTTAAAATATTATTAATTTATTATATTGCCTGAATAATTATAATCGTATATAATAATAATAGTAATAATAATAAAATTCTTTTAATAATAACATTGTTCAGGGTGAAATAACAAAAATATTGTTTTAAATAAAATTAACAGATTTTTATGCAAAAAACAAAAATACAACGATATGGTAACTATAGCTTATATAATAATAAATTTTGCATTTATTTTGTTTCAGTTCACTTTAAAATTCGTGATAAAAGTTCATTTTCCTGTGACAATCACACAAAAGTACAATAATAAAAGTTAATAGATTTGGAAAAATCAAAACAGAATCTTAAAACCAAAAACCGATTTTGATGAATTTAGCAATTAATTTTTAGAAACCATAACTTGGCTGTTCAAACCAAGACTAATTCTGAACAATTTAATCTTTACTCCCTTTTGGCTGCATGAACTTTTGGTTACATAAACTGATAACATAGCTTTTAACAATATCTTTTCTAAATCAACCAATTTTTCGAAATTACACGCTGTTCTTTTCTAAACAAAAATTAAAAGAACTTTTTTATGATTCTATAATTAAATTCAGATTTTATTTTTATTATTTAAATTTAGGAAAAAAAATTTTGTATATCCAATAATTTTATATCGAAATTTCCGCACTCTACGTATAAATACCACTTTAGGCGAAATACTAATAGCAACCACATTGCTTTATTAGATTATAAATTTATGAACGTATGTATCTACATACGTATATGTATGTAAAGAGTAAAAATAGTTTTAATTTTTTTATTTAGTCGAATTATCATAAGACGTTGAATATTTATCAAGACGAACGTATCTCAATACAAGAGTGGAATATTTTTCTTCCGGGACTCAGCACACATGCATTTAAATTGATAAATTTCATAAGGACAGTTAAAAGGCGAAAAATTTTGTTAAAACATTAAAAATTGTAAATTTATATCAATATTATTGCAGCTATATTTAAAATAATAACAAATAACGTGTACGCCTAAAAGTATGCAATCAATTATTAAAATATTTTAATAAAATGTGAACGCACACACAGTCTTTTATATAAAAAAAAATTTGAAATGGCGGCTTAATTTTTATACTTTCGTTTCTGTTTTATTGAAATAAAAAATTTGATCAAAATAAACTATAATATACGGTTCTCTTGTAATACACATATACGCTATAATAATATTTATTAGAATAAGCTATCGTATATAATTACGATATTTAAATTTTTCTTAATTTTTTTCTTAAATTAGTGGCATACTGTCGTACGACACTAGCTTGTATCTATTCCTTAGCAATTTAAAACTGGCGATTATATTAGATTTACTCTTTAATAGTATGTACTAGCATATCTAAAAGCAAAAGAGTTTAAAAACTACTGATATAGTCTTTTCTCGTACTATATCAACGACATCATCAGCAAAAATAATATTTTAATGAGCATCACAACAAAAAAAAAAAAAACTTGAAAAAATTAAAAACAAAAAAAAAACACAAGAACAATAAGAGAGAAAAAAATCGAAATAACAATAAAAGAAGAAAAAAAAAACAAAAAACTATACAAAAAAAATTTATAAGTTTCTGTGTCGAAGGGCACTGGCCTTTTATATTTATATTTACAATAACACCATCTTTATACCCACATTATATACACCACCATATCATTATATCGGCATAACATATACATAAATACATTTCCGAACATAAATACAAACCATTAAACAAATAAGAATAAGAAGAAGTAGTAGAAAATATTCGATATTACGATAATAATTGAAAGTTTAAGAAGAAAAAAAAAATATAGTTCATACCTAATTCAATGTGCTATAAAAAAAAAGTACATTTATTCACATATACAAAATGAATAAGTGATATCCGTATTCCGTATGTAACCATTACGTTGAGCATTACATTTATATATATATATATATATACAATACTATTATGTATATATATACCATGTAGATATTTATTTCAGTATGATAATGTACTTAGAGTATTGAGTAAAGAATTGTTTTTTATGTTTATTAAATAATTATATGCAAACGGGGCTTTATATTCAAGAATAAAAGAGCAAGAAAGGCAAAAATCATATAAATATGTAAAATATATTAAACTATATATATGTGTGCATTGGCTATATATATATGTATTATTACTATAAGTCCAAAATGAACTAAATTTTGAATTTAAAACAAAAGGAAGATAAGATTATTATTTTCCTGTTATCATTTTATTACATTCATATTATATAATATAATATTTGGCGTTTATAAGCGTAAGCATTAATATAAAAATATTTATTGTATATAATATAATATAAGCAAATTATAATATTATATTATTCTGTATAATATTATAGAATATTCAATCTGTATTTTATTATTACACATATGTATATAATATATACTTCAGTATTGGTAAATTCAATATATATTTGATATAAGTATATACTTAATGCATATAACGTAGAAGTATAATAGAAATAAATTACATTATATTCTAAATTACGATTTATATAGTTAGCCATATACATTATATCGATGTGTATATTCGTATGTATGTATATTGATATATATATAATATAAAAGTAATACGAAATGAATACCTTTGATCAGAATAAATTATAACAAGGGTTCTTGGTTTCCTTTATTTTTTTCTCATTTTATGCAAGATATAACAAAGTAGTAACATATTTCTTACAAATCCACAAACTTATAACATAATATATTAGAATTATATTGATATATGTAAATATAAAAGTATATATATATAGGTATATATTTATATATTCAACTTATATATAAAGTGGATATTAAACAATTATGTTTTATAATTTATACACACGTGAATTTATACACACATCAATAAGCAAGCTTATATATAAATACATACATATGTATATGCAAATATAAAACAGTGTATATATATGTATATTCTTAATGTGTATAAAACCCATATATACATTATAATTTACATATAAGAACAAAAAATGAATGTATATCGAGGAGATACATAATTTACGGACACGGAAGATTGAATTTAGGTCTTGGGGTGCTAAAAAGAAAAAAAAATTCATCAATATTATTGAAAAAGAATATTCGAAATTTATTTCTTTTTACAATTTTCTTTTTTTTTCGCTTTTTTGTTTTTTGTTGTTGTACTTATTTCGTTTTCTTGCTTTTTTTACATTTCAAAATCGAATTTTTTATTAGACTATGTTATTATATTATTATATATGAAAAAGAAAATATAAAAACAAAAATTATAAGTGAAGAAAAAATAAATTGTAATTTATTACAAATATCTTGTCAATCAAAGTAATAAGAATTGAAAAAGAAAAACAAAAAAAAAAAAAAAATAACGAAAAACAAGAAAAATTGTAATAAGAAAATATCAAAATGAAATGATCCACATTTTCAAATGACTCTCCGAATTTAAGAAATAAATATCATTAATCATACATTGTACATTTTTATAAAATTTTTATAATATACGAGTATAAAGATGAGAAAATAATTATATATATATGCAGTTATTAATACAGTTGACCCTTGTATAACACGATTACACATTGAAAATTGTGATGTGTTTGGAAGAACGCAAATTAATATAAAAATTAATATTTTGTGGCACTTGAATATGTACCAATTCAAGACGTCTTCAATCAAGCAGCATGTCATTCCCTCGAAACCTTGTTATGCAGAAATTTATATTTTACGTAAATCAAAATTCAGTACTGTCATGGAAAAAACCCATGTCCGCTTTCATAATAAATCTGCAATTCCAGATTTTCAAATGCTCTCCAAATTCCCAGTCAAGAGAACCGTAACCGTATAGTAATTTTGATCTTCTACATCACTACAATTCTTAAAAATACACTTCTTATAAATGGCAGATAATATGGATTTCACAAAATTTTGTTACATTCTGAACTGTATAATGACGTGAATCCGCAAGAAAAAATATTTTAGGCGAAAAATCGTTGTCTTAGTCAGCATGTTAAACTATTTTGTAAATTCTTTTGATTTTCATTAAAAATTATGAAACTTTCCAATTATGGAAATTGCTTTGAATTTCAAAATTCTACATGATTTGGATCACAAAAAAATTCTACAAGCTTTGGATAGGGATTCATACATTAAAGTGAAATACAAAGTCACCGGTAGGGTCACCTGTACTTACAATTCAAAATATAAAATTTTGAA